TCCCTCGGAGAGTGGTGGTGTCTCCTTCTTTGGAGGTCTTTAAACAGAGGTTGGATGGCCATCTGTCAGGAGTATTTTGACTTTTATGTTCCTGCATGGCAGAATGGGGTAGGACTGGATGGCCCCAGTGGTCTCTTGCAACTCTGATTCTATGATTTGTACTTGCTTGTTCTTGTTCTGTAATTTTTGCCATCTTGACCACATTCTGATGTTTCTTGGCCACACATGTCCCAATTTTCATCTGTGAAATGTTGGGAGAATTTGGATTAATAAGGAACCAGGGTTAATTTACATTTTTAGACTATAGTTCACAGAATCCCCCAACTAGCATGGGTTGGAGGATTCTCTGTTAATTGCAGTCCAAAAACAAGTTTTGGTCAGAAAGCCAATAGTTGTTTTTATCTTCTTACAATGTAGGCTGCAATTCACCAACCGTGAGCCAAACAAAACTTGTTAGGCCCACAGGACTCTTGGTTGTTTTTGCTGCCACGCACACATTCAAAAATAAATGTTGCAGAAGGTAATTGTGATCTGATGGTATATCTTCTACCTGAAATAGATCAGCAAGGAGTTCTGACTCCTGGTCATAGTGCTGAGAAGAAGATAGCTGTGGTGAGTAGGTTTTGTAGGGAAGGACAGTTCTGTTCAGTTCTGATGCTTAAATTGTTGGTCAAAGAAGGCTTTAATTCTAACACTCTTTTGCTCTCAAGATGGAAGGTTTTTTGTTTTGCTTTTAAAGCACATAGTAAATTCTGCAAATTTGAACTTGTCTGAGGCCTGGTTGAGTTACCCTTCTGGACAGCACAGGAAGAAAAAAATTATTAAGGTCTCCCATACAACCCCTCATTCATAAATAGGCAATTCTTGCCCACAGATCAGTCCATGTGTGTCACATTGTATCACAAATACAAAGGACTGGCGCTAATATAGAAAATACCCTCCACAACAGCATAACCTCAGCTGCCTTGATTTGACAGGCAAAGTCATTCTTGCCATCCCACTTTGAAAGTGTTCCACTTCTCTCTCCTCCTGCCACTTCCCCCTTCATCCTCAGCTGCCGCAAACTGTACAAAGGGCAAAAATCAGTAACTCAGAAGGATGGAAGGGGTAGAATATTACCCCTCCCTGTAGACTCAGCAAAAGCAAAATGCTGCAGCCTCTCCTAGTTCATCTATAAAGGTAAAGGTATTCCACGTTGACAAGGTTGTTAAGTCATGTCCGACCATAGGGGGTGGTCATCTATACTCTCCTCATTAATCACTTTGACATCTTGACCACACTCTCATGTTCCTTGGCTACATATGTCCCAGTTTTCATCTATGAAACCTTGGAGGATATGCAATAGTGCCGTATCACTCATGCGAACAAACCAAACCACACACTACCAAGGAAAGCAAATACCTCCTGGCGTTTCATTTCTGTAGCACTGCCCTGGAGAAAGATTCCTTCCTTAATCCCTAAGGGAGTGGTGAGTCAGTCCCTGAACATGAACAAACCCATCTGTTGATTCATGCAGTGGAAATGTTATTGAACCCCATTGAGTGTTTTGTCTCTAGCTGTGGGAGTCCCTCATTCTCTTGGACTTGTGGGGAAGTTAAAGGACCTAACTAACAAAGTATTCTTGACCTGAGTGAGTTGCTGCAGCTAGTTTTCTGTGATGTCTTCTTGGCTTTTATGCCCTAAGTCCTCAACCGACACAGATGCTTAAGTATTGCAACTTTGCTCACTTGCAAAATGCAAACAGACACAAACATAGGTCTGCTTTATATAATGAATCTGGGAAAACTGGACTAATTATGCAGCCATCTGTTGAAGACTTAAACAGTTTTTTCTAGATCTGTTCCAAATTAGACTGGCTCCCATTGTGTGGCCAAAGGAGCACTCAAAAGGATCCAACAAAACTTACTGTAGGCATGTTGCTCTGTTTTAGCCCTTCGGGGGCTCCTTTTGCAGTGCAGACATTTCACAATTTCATCTACAAATGGAGATGGGAAAATATTGATCAAGTTCAAAATGCAGACCCAATAATGGTGAACTTTTTGGAACCTTCTTAATTTGGACCTTCCAGTTTCTGTCTCCTCCATCACCACAACTTTGTGGATTCCAAGAGTTGTGATCTAAAAGTAACCCTTTTCAAATCTCATTTTTTAATTTGTTATTTGTTTGTTTCCTCAACAAATGGCCTCCCTTTAAGTTAAATTCCTCAATAGATTCTTAAGGGCAGTTCAAAGAAACATAGAATCAGAGAATTGGAAGGGACAACAATGGTCATGTAGTCCTTGCCATGGAGGAATACACAACTAAAACACTCCCAAAATATAACCATCTATCTGTTTAAAGACCTCCAAAGAGGAAATGTCCATCACCCTCCACCACAGTCCATTCCACTTTCAACAGCTTTCACTGCCAGGAGATCCTTCCTGATGTTTAGGTGGAATCACTTTTTGAGGTTTGAATTTGAATCCATTGTTGTTTCATGTAATAATCTCTGCAGCAGCTGAAAGCAAACTCACTTCCATCTTCTACAAGTAATCCCTTCTGATACTTAAAATACATCATATTATTGCTCCTTCTCTTCTCCAAGCTTCTTCATACTCAGTTCCATAAGCAATTCCTGGGCATGTCTGTATGGGACATTTACACCGTTTTCCCCATGGCCTCCCATCACTTGGACCACACAGTGCAGAGCCTTGGGAAGTCCAGTTCATGACATCTGGGCCATCCTTCCCTTAAATCAAATTTGTAAATTGTTCCACTCCAAAATTTCACTCCAGAGTGAAGCTGGGTGGCTGTTTACATGTGCATTCTGCTGTGCCGCCCGGCGCTGCTGCCACCACTCTCTGAGATCACAGCAAGGTGCCCAGCCATGTGATTGACAACGGGTGCCTCATTTTCTATCTCAGAGGAAACAACTTGTGCCAGTGGCAGAGAGCAGTGGGATGCACATATAGATGCAGTGGGTACCCAGCATTGCTCCGGAGGGCAGAGATAATGGAGTAGCTTGGGGCAGATCTGGGGCCAGAATTCTCCAGGAGCACCCTGGAGTATTATGGCCAATGTAGATGTACACTTTGATAGGGGTTGGTTTCCAGACTTTTGATCATCTTGGTCACCCTCCTCTGAACATGTTCCAGCTTGTCAATATCCTCTTTAAACTTTGGTGACCAGAACTGGGCACACTATTCCAGAAAGGTCAGACCAAAACATTACACTATACAGCATTTAAAGTCTACTTTACATCATTACACTATACATCATTTAAAGTCTAACAATCTTCTAATTTTTTTGCTACTGACCAAAGACACATTGCTCTCCATCATGTTCAAAAGTAACCAACCATTCTTGATCTCCTTCAGGTGATGATTTTTTGGCATGTTCTGGAACTTCTTACAATTTTATTTTGGCTTGTAAAGTGTATATGGGTGATTCTATACTAACAACAGTAAATTGTAATACCAAATTGGAAGATACTCTGGTAAATATGTTCAGCTCTTGTCGTGAACCCAGTGAGGTTCTTTTTGCTCCAACAACTAATGTTAATTAATGTCCATTAATGCCCAGAGGCTGGCCAAGTGTGAATAATCCCCCAAACTCATGACAGCTGCTGCTCTATTTGGCACTGGTTGGGCCTTCACTGGAATAATTTGTCTGGTTTGGGTCACTGCATTCTAAGGAGAATGAAGAAGGCAAATAGGGAAGAGCAATTGGAGGCCTGGAAAGTCTGAGGAAAAGACAAGAGAAATACCTATCATATACTTAAAGTTGTTTAAGAAAGTACATGGTGGATTTCTAATCTTTTCTAGATGAAGCCATTGTGTTGTTGTGGTTTAAGTGTTGGACTAGACTCGGAATCAAAGATAGAATCATCCAATCCATAGTATTTCCCATACCCATGTACAGATGTGAGATCTAGACAGTGAAAAAGGCGGATAAGAAAAAATCAACTCATTTGAGATAATGTGGTTCTGGAGAAGAGTGCTGAGGATACCATGGACAGACAAAAAGACAAAGAAATGGGTCCTAGAACAGATCGAACCAGATCTCTTCCTGGAAGCTAAAGTGATGAAACTGAGGCTGTCACACTTTGTGCACATCATAAGAAGTCATGACTCACTTGAAAAGACAATAAGCTAGAAAAGGTTGAAGGCAGTAGAAAGAGAGCAAGACCACTCACCAGACAGCTATACTCAATTAGGGAGGTCATAAGCATGAATCTACAAGACTTAAGCATATGTTCACCACCCGGATTGGTTCGCCATAGGGCGGTATATAAATAAAAATTATTATTATTATTATTATTAAGCAGAGCAGTGGAGGATAGGGAGTCTTGGAGATTTCTCATCCACAGGGCCACGATGAGTTGGTGCTGACTCGAGGGCAGTTAACAACAACCAAATAATTGTTCCAAATCTTATGTTTCCCATGAGTTAATATGGTGTCGTCAGCATAGCTTAGATTGTTGATGTTCATCCCTCCTATCTTTACTCCTCCTTTTTCTGAGTCTATCCCCCCCTCCCTGAGTCACAAAAAAAAAAAAATAGAATCAAGCTGCATGAAAAATTTCTCATAGGTGCAGAGACTCAAATATTGTACCTTATATTTTGGACTTTACATCCCATCAGTCCCATTGAGTATGACCGATGGTAGGAGATGAAGGCAAACATCTCTGGAAAATTAAAGATTCCCTGCCACTGCCTTCAAGACCAGTGTTGTGCGTAGCCACCAGCCATGGGCCTCTTGGTGTTAGTGGGGGTAAATTCCATTTGTTGCTCTGTTTTGGGCAGCAAAATTTTCAGGCTTACTGCATTAAAGAGAAACATTTCCCCACGGTCACTGAGATGCATTCAGTTCATCCCACAAGCTACAGCTGAACTTTGTGGGGACTGCTTCATGCCACTTTCTAGAAGGGACTGGAGACATAGCTTGTCTCAGATCATTTAATATCTGCTTTAGGAATATAGGAAACTTTAAATAAATAAGTGTGGTTAAGTACCCTAAGAGCCAGCATGGCACAGTGGTTTGAATGTTAGACTGCGACTCTGGAGCCCAGGATTCAATTCTCAGCTCAGGCATGAAAATCACTGGATGGCCTTGGGAAGTCACAAGCTCTCAGCCTCAGGGGAAGGAAAAGGCAAAAAATAAAAAACCCTGAACAAACCTTGCCAAGAAACACCCTTGATAGGTTCACCTATTTGAAAATAAACAAAAGCAGTCATTTTGCTTTGTTTCAACTGTACATGTGTGTTTAAGGCAATAAGAGTCAGCTATGAGTGCACAAGGCAGGCAATGAGTGATAAAGATGCTGGATGATGGATAAATAAGTATTTGACTATGTCTGACTATTTCTTTGGTAAGAATGAAACCAGTGCTATGCCTGTTAAATGGATACCTTTGAAGTCTATTTGAGTTTTGGATTAAGACATTGGAAGACCAGGGTTCAACTCCCTATTCAGGTGGTGAGAGAAACTGGAACAATTTAAAAGTAGTTGGAAAAGCAGGATGACAGAGAATTAATTGGGACCATCCTTGCCAAACCAGGACTGTTGGAGGGTATGCTCTGGTGATCCTATCCTAGAGTTTACTAAGCAAGATTGAGTTTGGAAATTTCTTTGAATGAGGTTTGTCATTGTCTTCCTCTCAGGCTGAGAGAGCATGACTTGTCCAAGATCACCCAGTGGGTTATGGTGGCTGAGCCTTGATATGGACCCTGGTTTCCCAGAATCTTCAAGCAATAGTCAAACCACTGCACTATACTGGCTGTCTTAAGGATCTTCCACTACCTTAAATTGGGGTTGGGATGGGGTGGGTATAACTGGTGTTTGCCCTTCAGGCAGCAGAGTATATTGGACAAACTGTGATGGCTGAATCAGTAAATTACTGACTGGTCCAATTAAAATGTAATATAAAGTCCCCATTGGAAAGAGTAAAATTTGACCAGAAACCAAAAGATGATTTGTTTGTTTGTTTGTTTGAGAAATGGAAGTGGTTCAAATAGACACCTACTTGTACTGTGCTCCATCTCCTGATTCCAGTCAGATAAATGAAGTGTTTGTATAAATTCAGCCTTGATAATGAGGAAATTGAAATAGTAAAAGAATTCCCATACCTTGGATCAAACACTGAATACAATGGGGACTGCAGTCAAGATATCGGAAGACAACTAGGAATATATTCCCCATTACCATGTATGGATGTGAGAGCTGGACAGTGACGAAAGCAGATAGGAAGAAAATCAATTCATTTGAGAGAATGTGGTGCTGGAGGAAGAGTACCAAGGATACTGTGGACAGCCAAGACAAACAATTGTGTCCCAGAACAAACCAAGTCTGAACTCTCCCTGGAAACCAAGAATGAGGCTGTCGTACTTCAGTCACATCATGAGAAGGCATTAGAAAAAACAATGATGCTGGGGAAGATAAAGGGCAGTAGAAAAAGAGGAAAACCACATGCCAGATGGATAGACTCAATAAGGGAGACCATGGGCTTCAGCCTACAGGATCTGAGCAGAGAGGTAGAAGATAGGCGATCTTGGAGACATCTCATTCACAGGGTCATCATGAGTCGAGGTTGCCTCAAAGGCAGTTAACAACAAAAAATGGGTTTGATGAGACCATGTGAGGTATAGTGGTTTGAGACAACAACTCTGGAGACCAGGATTTAAATCCCTATTTGGCCATAGAAACCCACTGGGTGGCCTTTGGCAAGTCACACGTTCTTGGCCTTTGAGGGAGACAAGGGCAAAAACAACAGCTCTTAACAAATCTTGCCAAGAAACCCCCAGGATAGGTTCGCCTTAGGGTCACCGTATGTCGGAAACAACTGGAAGGTACACAACAACAGGAACAAAAATTGGTTTGACAGGTTTTAGTAGCCTGCTGGCAAAGGCTTGACAGATCTGTTTGACTACAAACAACAGCAGGAGAAAGGGGATTGTGTGTATACCATGGACAACTTTGCCTTTGTTATACCATAGTGAATCCTCTCCCAAACAATCAGTGGGTACCCATGCAGATTTTGCCATCATTTTGGACTTTCAAATCCCCACCACCACCACCCCATCTTTGCCACCAAAGGAAAGCCAAGAGTCCTCCCTAATCAGGCCGGGAGCCAAGGATAGATGTAACTTTTTAAAAATTCTGCTGTGGATAACTGAGCCCAACCAGGGTCGCAATGTGATTCTCGGATGTAGTATGTGCATCGTAAGCCGAAAGGGTGGGAGTTGGGCTGTCAAACTGCCTTAACTTAATTGGAAACACATGTCTGTGTGTCCCCTCCTCCTCCACTCCGGCCCTCCAGGCTGGGGAATTTTTTTGTCTGCTTCTTTGCAGCTCAGAATCTGGGGAACTTAACATTCCTGCAAACACCATGCTGGGACGAACTACAGGCCTTCAAAGTATCTGCCTTCTACTCCTCTTACCTGTCTCGGCCAGCTCTTGTCCTAGCCGCTGCTTGTGTTTTAGGACCACAGTAAGATGTATGCATCTGAGGCTGGAAACCATCCCTGAGGTCCCACCGCAGACAAATGTCCTGTAAGTAGCAGCTTTATTTGGGAATTATTTTTTTCCAAGAAATCTCTGTGTTAGTGCATTACAACACAAAAAGGAAAAAGAAAGGCAGGGGAAGGAATCTTAGCAGCACCTTTAAAGCTGATTTCAGCCTGAGCATTTATGGATTTCAGTCTACATCTTTGGATGCGCTGGCAGATATAATATTAAAGCTACAGGTATTTAAGCACAGTTGTATAGTTGTGGGGTAGGTCAGGGAGTAATAGGATGGAGAGAGATGCAGATTGTGACCCCTACCATAAACCTCAGAGTTATTTGAGATGATACAGGTCTGTCAAGCTGGTTTATTAGTTCTGAAGTGAGAAAGCACTAAAACCTTCTTCTTGTTGTGTGCCTACCAGAAATTTTTGACTTATGGTGACCCTAAAGCAAACCTATAATGTAGTTTTCTTGGCAAGATTCATTCACTGCCTTCCTCTGAGGCTAAGAAAATATAACTTGAGTTTCTAAGGCTGAGCTGGGATCTAGACTATGTCTCCCAGCTTCCTAGTCCAATACTCAAATCACTACACCTCATTCACTGTCTCAAAAATTCACAAGCAGGATGGGATTTGAACCCATGCATGCAAAGCTCTGCATGAATAACCATTGAGCTGCCTCATCCAAAACCTGAAAGTCTTTTCCTCTGAAGTAGAAAAAAATTCTAAGGAGAACTGAACAGACAGGTGAGTGAACTTATGTAACTATGGTACGTGGCTAGGAACCCAGATTTTGAATCCAGAAGGCCTGAGTTCAAGTCTTGACTCTGCCCTGAACTCTGCCCTTGCCTCTGTAAGCTTTCAGAAATTAGTTTTAGTTCTTTGTCTGTATGACAGGAATGACAACAACCATAACAGAATGAGAATAAAACTGAGCAGACTTGTCATGGCTACAAATACATTCAAAGTTCTGAACCATTTTCCAAATGATGCCATATCTAGACATATCGGGAGAAGACATGACTTACTAAAAAAGACAATGATGCTTGGTAAGGTAGAAGGCAGTAGGAAAAGAGGAAGACCACATTACAAGTGGACAAAGTCAGTCAAGGAAGCCATGGCCCTGAGTTTGCAAGACCTGAGCAGAGCAGATTATGACCAGGGATCTTGGAGCTCTCTCATTCACAGGGTTGAAATTAGTTGAAGTTGACCTGATGACAAATAAGAACAACAGTGCCATATGATTATGATTTTCTTGTATGTTTTCCAATGTACAACCAATACAGTCACCTGCCTTAAGATATTACTGTGTTTTAGTTGTGGTAACTGGGTATGCTAAGAAAAGGTTTCATACAAACGGATGTGCCTTTTGTTAAATTGCCAAGTCTTCTTTACTTAGTGGGAATCTATAAATATGATCAAGGAGGATACATATAAAAGTAATACAGTAATACCACTCTACCGAACTTTGGTGAGACCTCATCTGGGCACCACAGTTCAAAAATGTGGCCAGAGAAAGGCAACTAAGATGGTAAAGGGTCTAGAAACCAAGCCCTACAAGGAATAGCTTAGGAATCCAGGTATGTTTAGTCTGTAGAAGAGGTGACATGATGGCCATCTTTAAATATATGAAGGAATATCATGTAAAAGACAGAGGAAGGTTGTTTTCTGCTGCTCCAGAGACTAGGACACAAACCAATGGATTCAAATTACAAGACAAAAGATTCCACCTAAATATTAGAAAGAACTGCTTGATTATAAGAGCTGTTTGAAAGTGGAACAGACTGCAGCAGAGGATGGTGGATGCTGTTCTTCGTTGGAGGTTTTTAAACAGAGATTGCACGGGCATCTCTCAAGAGTGCATTACCTGTGTATTTCTGCATGGAAGAGGGTTGGGCAACATGCTCCCTTGAGGTCCCTTCCAGCTCTCTGATTCTGTGATATTCATTTCTCCAGTCCCTGCTTCTTTCCAACTGCTTATGATCAGAGATGTACTGACAGCAATCCCTTCTCTGCTAGGCAGATGGGATTAAAAGGGAAAGGCAGAACAGATTATCGCTTTAAATCATCCTGGGGCAAGATATCAAGAGCTTTTCCTATCTTCTTCTGTGTGTGTTTCCTTGCAGGGAGAGGAGGGGATGGTAGAATATAGTAAAAATGTATTGTTTGTGTGTTCAGTCTGCACCACTTCTGCACTTCTGAAAGCCAAACACAGGGACATTCTAAATCCCAGTTTGCACTGCTAGCTTTCTTAATCTTGTGTATGGCAGACTGGGGGGAGAATCTGGGGTGAAAAGGAAACCATTTTTATTGCCAACCTGCAAGAGAAACATATAAATACGCCTGCCTACATCAATGTCCAAAATGACTGGGTGTGAGTTCACTGTGCAGAGGAGCAGAGGGGAGGCACAGGAGTGGAGAGGGGAGAAGTTGTCCCTATTTTCAGTGGAGAATCTGGGGGAAAAAAGAGAAAGGAAGGAAGTTGCCTTGGCAGTCTAGAGCTGAGAGAGAGATTTGTGAAGGCAGGGCATGAAAGCAAGTGGGGGGGGGCACATTTCTACCGCCAACCAGTATCCGACAGGAGGAAAA